GAACGAACTCAAAAAATGGATTGTTGAGAACTTCGGAGCGGAGTTTGGGAAAATTAGGTGGCTCAAGTTGACCTGTACTTCCTTATGAAACCCGTTTAGGTTCCAAAAGTAGTTAGGAAGGTCCCTAAGGTAGATTAGAAAATTTGAAGGGTCCTAAACGTGTTTCGACTCAAAATACGATTTCTTTGCAGAATGTTCGAAATTTTGATGAACATTCAAATCAAAAACCAACATCAACGAAGACAAATCGAAATATTTCGGCAAAATTGGTGTTGCAATGAACGAGTTGAAGAATCAAGAAGAGTAACGAGCCTGATTTCTTTCCAATATTTTTGAAACGTACTTTTTCCACCAGAACATTTTTGAATGATATTTTCTGGATTTTTTCAGAATTTTTGAAATAGGAGAAATCGAGATTCGTAACTGAATGAATGAAGATTGGCTGAAATTGTGTTGTTTTTTTATAATAAATTTTTGATTTTTTTTTGTCCAGAGGGGTCTGGCTAATTTTTTGAAAATATAACAATTTACACCCCAAAAACCAAGTTTTTTCTTTTTTTATGGGGATCTGGCTAATTTTTGTATTTTCAAATTTGGAACGCTGGAAACATTGATTTTTAGCAATTTGAAGTAATTTCAGCATTTTCACCCGAGTTTTTTCCAATTATTTTTCGGAACAAACTGACCAAATAAAAACAGCATGAAAAGAAAATGAATGAATTGAGCAGAGTTTCGAGCAAATCTGAAAAATGTTGATTTTTGTGAAAGTTTCAGGATTTTTTTATTGAAAATCACAGAAAATTTTAGAACTCACAAAATCCATAAACCAAAAATTGCAAATTTTCTGAATTTTCTACAAAAATTACCAGAAAAAACAAAAAATGAAATGATTTTTATTCATCCCAAAAACAAAGAAACACGGATTTTTGAAACGTGACATTGTTTCGATGAAATAATGATAAAGATCTTACGTGTTCCACATTTTTGGGGCTATAAAAGAGGCGGCTCAGAACATCACTCTATTTTCGTCATCATTCTTCTAATCGTTCTACCAATTGCTTCTAAATGTGCGAACAATCTGGGTAAGAGAAAAGAAAGGAACAGAGTAATTTATTGAAGTATATATTCTTTCAGATCGAATTCCAAGCAAGTCATTAAGATTTGCGGGCATTCTTGCCACTTTCATCATCCGCAAGAATCACCGAAAATTATAATAGTTGGTGTTGAACATAAACAAGAAGAGGAGGCGCCAGATTTGTAGAAAAAAAGCGTCTACTGAATTGTTTTGAAATCTTTTTGAAAAATATTTCCAATATTTTTGAAACGTACATTTTCCACCCGGATTTTTTTGATGACATTTTCTGATTTTTTCAGAATTTCTGAGGTGAATTACTGTAGAGTACACGTGGGAAAAATTAAAGCTAAAAATGGATATTTTCAGCCATTTTTTGTGGCTGAAAAAGTTTTTCGCAAACTTTTTTTTCTTGACCAATTTTTCCAGAAAATTCAAAAACATTTCCAGATCCAAATTTTGTGCTGAAAATGCTGAAATTACTTAACGATCATTAAAAATGATAATTTTCCAGCATTTTCAGCTGGAAATTTTGAGTACGGAACCATGTTTAAAACTTTTAAAAAATTTATTCAAGAAAAAATCACAAAAATAAAATAAATTACCTTCTTTTGAGGCTCGAGCTGCAAAAAATCAATAATTTTTGAATTTTCAAATTTCCCGCCAAAAAATAAACTCACTGATCATTGGATCCACTCAAGACCAACACGGTGTCGAAAGTTGTTTTTGTTTTTCAATTGTTTGCTGAGTGTTCCGAGCGGAGGCTCGGGAAGCATTTGTCTGGAAATTTCGGTGATTTTACGGAAAATCCTGAATTTCAGAGAAATGTTGATTTTTGGCTGAAAATTGGTCTTTTGAGATGTGAAATTCTCAAAATTTCAGATTTTTAAGCTTGTTTCCGAAAGCCCTTTGGTTCAAATTTTACAGAAATTCAAGTTTCCGGGCTCAAAATGCTCCAAAAAATCAAAAAATTTTAAAATTTAAGGTTTTTTTCACGGTCTGAAAGCCCTAAACTCCCAATTTTACGAAAAAATTTTTGAGCTCAAAAAAATCACGAGCACAAAATTTGTATGTATTTTCTCAGGCTGGGAAACAAAAGTGCCACGTGGGTTTTTTTGAGGCCGAAATTTGGATTTTTTGGAGCATTTTGAGCTCGGAAACATGACTTTTCGTAAAATTGAGAGCTCGGGCCTTTTTCAGGCCGTGAAAAAACTTGAAAATCTGAAATTTTGTGATTTTTTGGAGCATTTTGAGCCCGGAAAAATTACTTTTCGTAAAATTGGGAGTTTAGGGCTTTCCAGACCGTGAAAAAACCTTAAATTTTAAAATTTTTTGATTTTTTGGAGCATTTTGAGCCCGGAAACTTGAATTTCTGTAAAATTTGAACCAAAGGGCTTTCCAGGCTCTGTGAAAGCTTAAAAATCTGAAATTTTGAGAATTTCACATCTCAAAAGACCAATTTTCAACCAAAAATCAACATTTCTCTGAAATTCAGGATTTTCAGCCAAAAAATCACCGAAATTTCCAGACAAATAGCTACGACACTCCGCTCGGAACACTCAGCAAACAATTGAAAAAACAAAAACAACTTTCGACACCGTATTTGGTCTTGAGTGGATCCAATGATCAGTGAGTTTATTTTTTGGCGGGAAATTTTGAAAATTCAAAAATTATTGATTTTTTTTGCAGCTCGAGCCTCAAAAAGGAGTAATTTATTTTATTTTTTGTGATTTTTTTCTTGAATAAATTTTTTTAAAAGTTTTAAACATGGTTCCGTACTCAAATTTCCAGCTGAAAATGCTGAAAATTATCATTTTTAATGATGTTAAGTAATTTCAGCATTTTCAGCACAAAATTTGGATCTGGAAATGTTTTTGAATTTTTTTCTGGAAAAATTGGTCAAGAAAAAAAAGTTTGCGAAAAACTTTTTCAGCCACAAAAAATGGCTGAAAATATCTGAAATTTTTAGCTTTAATTTTTCCACGTGTACTCTACAGTAATCACCTCAGAAATTCTGAAAAAATCAGAAAATGTCATCAAAAAATCCGGGTGGAAAATGTACGTTTCAAAAATATTGGAAATATTTTTCAAAAAGATTTCAAAACAATTCGAGTAGACGCTTTTTTTTTCTCAAATCTGTTGCCTCCTCTTCTTGTTTATGTTCAACACCAACTATTATAATTTTCGGTGATTCTTGCGGATGATGAAAGTGGCAAGAATGCTTACAAATCTTAATGACTTGCTTGGAATTCGATCTGAAAGAATATATACTTCAATAAATTACTCTGTTCCTTTCTTTTCTCTTACCCAGATTGTTCGCACATTTAGAAGCAATTGGTAGAACGATTAGAAGAATGATGACGAAAATAGAGTGATGTTCTGAGCCGCCTCTTTTATAGCCCCAAAAATGTGGAACACGTAAGATCTTTATCATTATTTCATCGAAACAATGTCACGTTTCAAAAAATCCGTGTTTCTTTGTTTTGGGATGAATAAAAATCATTTTCATTTTTTGTTTTCTGGTAATTTTTTTGTGAAAAATTCAGAAAATTTGCAATTTTTGGTTTATGGTTTGTGAGTTTCTAAATTTTCTGTGATTTTCAGCCGAAAAATCCTGAAACTTTCACAAAAATCAACATTTTTTCAGATTTGCTCGAAACTCTGCTCAATTCTTCATTTTTCTTTTCATGCTGTTTTTATTTGGTCAGTTTTGTTCCGAAAAATTGGAAAAAACTCGGGTGAAAATGCTGAAATTACTTCAAATTGCTAAAAATCAATGTTTCCAGCGTTTAGCCACCCCCGAAATTTGAAAATACAAAAATTAGCCAGATCCCCATAAAAAAAGAGAAAAACTTGGTTTTTGGGGTGTAAATTGTTATATTTTCAAAAAATTAGCCAGACCCTCTGGACAAAAAAAAATCAAAAATTTATTATAAAAAAACAACACAATTTCAGCCAATCTTCATTCATTCAGTTACGAATCTCGATTTCTCCTATTTCAAAAATTCTGAAAAAATCAGAAAATATCATTCAAAAATGTTCTGGTGGAAAAAGTACGTTTCAAAAATATTGGAAAGAAATCAGGCTCGTTACTCTTCTTGATTCTTCAACTCGTTCATTGCAACACCAATTTTGCCGAAATATTTCGATTTGTCTTCGTTGATGTTGGTTTTTGATTTGAATGTTCATCAAAATTTCGAACATTCTGCAAAGAAATCGGCTTATTTTGAGTCGAAACACGTTTAGGGACCCTTCAAATTTTCTAATCTACCTTAGGGACCTTCCTAACTACTTTTGGAACCTAAACGGGTTTCATAAGGAAGTACAGGTCAACTTGAGCCACCTAATTTTTCCCCAAACTCACTCCGAAGTTCTCAACAATCCATTTTTTTGAGTTCGTTCAATTCACTTTTGACGGAGATTTTGAATGAAGCAATTCCGGCTTTACCTCCTCCTTTTATTGATTTTTTCGATGACGTGGCATTTTTGATTTGGGCGGGCGATAAGGAAAGGACACGTTAAAAATGAGAAATGAATACAAACATTTGAGTTTCTAGGGCATTTTTGACGCAAAAGTTGACCTACAGTAATCCCATAAACATACAAAATATTCAGCTGGCAGCAAATACATTGGACCGGAAAAATAACAGCAGAATTCTTTTCGAAATAGTTTTCGAAACCATAAACCAAAAATTGCAAATTTTCTGAATTTTTCACAAAAAAATTGCCAGAAAAACAGAAAATGAAAATGATTTTTATTCATCCCAAAACAATGAAACACGGATTTTTGAAACGTGACATTGTTTCGATGAAATAATGATAAAGATCTTACGTGTTCCACATTTTTGGGGCTATAAAAGAGGCGGCTCAGAACATCACTTAATTTTCGAAAATTTATTATAGATTTCGCACTACTAGAACCGCGAAAATGACAACATATCAATCAAGAGAGAAGAGAAGAGTAGCGGATAATCAGAACGAATACAAGCAAGAGGAATTCCACCACCGAACCGATGCAGCAGTTTGCAAGCACAGCTGTCACTTTCATCGCCCGCGAATACAACAATACTACGTGTTCCAATCGCATCAAGAACAAATTGGCAAATTGGAAGAAGGCCGAATTTATGGTGAGATTGAGCAAGATCGCATTCATCGAGAACATTCCAATCAAATTGATCGTTCGAGCCGTTCACCAGAATACAGAAATCAGAAAAAGATGTCAGATGAATATTCCAACAATTTGAAAAAATGCGAGGGAAAGACAAATATAAGAATTGAATCGAGATCGAGATCTGGTAGACCGTGTAAAGGTCGTTCCAACGGAAGAGTTGGAAGACCTTTGAAATACCAACAAGTGTAAGTAACATAAGCTTTCCAATTTTGAAAACAATTTTATTTACATGAATGTTTTTCAGATCAAGATCGAGATCGCCCTTGAGAACCCGTGATTCGCCGTCGCCTTCTAGCAGAACTGATCATTCGGATAGAATGTCTTCCAGAACAACTCGACGAATGTCAAATTCGCCGTCGTCTAGAACTCGCCATACTTCAAGATTGAGAACTTCAAGAACCCGTGAAAGATCGAATTCAAGTTCTCCCAGAACTCGTCGTGATTCAAATTCCGCTGGTTTCATTCATTCGAGTCCGCATTTTGCTTCAACCCGTCATCCAAATTCCTTTTGTCCAGAATATGAAGATCGTTCCAACCCTTCCAACCGCAAAAATCAAAAAGCAAAGAAACTTTTTAATAAATAAATGTGACGAGTTTGTGTTGTTGTTTTTTATACATATATTTACTGTTGGGGGAATATTGATCAAAAAAAGAAACGAGGAGCTCGAAATGTTAAAGATCTAACGTGTTCCACATTTTTAGGACTATAAAAAAGGCGGCTCAGAACATCACTTTATTTTCTTCAGGCTCAGGCTCGTCAGGCTTCTTCCAATCGTCAGGCTTGTGATTATTCTACATTTTGATATGAGTGAAAATTCGAGGTAAGAGAAAAGAAAGGAACAGAGTAATTAATTGAAGTATATATTCTTTCAGTTCAAATAATTGCAAATTAATTTATGTGTGCAAACATTCATGCCAAACGATTTTTGCACCTCTCCGGATTTCTTTCCAATTGTTTTTGAAACGTACATTTTCCACCCGGATATTTTTGGATAATATTTTCTGATTTTTTCAGAATTTTTGAGAGGATTACTGTAGAGTACACGTGGCAAAATTAAAGCTAAAAATTTCAGATATTTTCAGCCATTTTTTGGGGCTGAAAATGTTTATCACAAACTTTTTTTTCTTGATCAATTTTTCCAGAAAAAGTTCAAAAACATTTCCTGGCTCAAATTTTTTGCTGAAAATGCTGAAATTACTTCAAATTGCTAAAAATCAATGTTTCCAGCGTTTTCAGCAGAAAATTTAAGTCTAGAATGTTGATCTGATTAAATTCTTGAAAATAACCCCTTGACCAAAACCTTCACTTCAAAATCATTTTCTGATCCAAATTTGGTGCTGAAAATGCTGGAAAAATTTATAATAGCTGACAATCGATATTTTCATTATATTCAGCACAAAATTTGAGTCAGGAAATGTTTTTGAATTTTTTTCTGGAAATTTGATCAAGAAAAAAAAAATTGCGAAAAAATTTTCAGCCACAATAAATGGCTGAAAATATCTGAAATTTTTAGCTTTAATTTTACCACGTGTACTCTACAGTAATCCCCTCAAAAATTCTGACAAAATCAGAAAATATTATCCAAAAATATCCGGGTGGAAAATGTACGTTTCAAAAATATTGGAAATATTTCCGCATTTTTCTTTCAAATCAATTCTTTCTATCTCGCTTCTTTCTTGCTTCTTTATCTTTCTTCTTTTTTCGCTCGTTGACGATGCGTATGTTGATTCGGCGTCTGAAGATTCTGGATTTTTTTGCTTCTTTTCATCAATTCGAATGGTTCCTATTGTTTTCCTCAATTTTATTTTTTCCTCTTCTTCTTGTTTTTCAACACCAATAATGATGATCGTCGGTGAGGCTTGTGGATGGTGATAGTGACATTCGTGCTTGCATATTTTTATGATTTGCTTGGAATTCGATCTGAAAGAATATATACTTCAATAAATTACTCTGTTCCTTTCTTTTATCTTACGTAGGTTCGCACATTAATAGAAATAATCACTGGAGTTATTAGAAATATTCACTGGAGCAGTCGGACTGACTAAAATTAAGTGATGTTCTGAGCCGCCTCTTTTATAGCCCCAAACATGTGGAACACGTAAGATCTTTATCATTATTTCATCCGAAACAATGTCACGTTTCAAAAATCCGTGTTTCATTGTTTTGGGATGAATAAAAATCATTTTCATTTTCTGTTTTCTGGTATTTTTTTTGTGAAAATTCAGAAAATTTGCAATTTTTGGTTTATGGTTTGTGAGTTTCTAAATTTTCTGTGATTTTCAGCCAAAAAAATCCTGAAACTTTCACAAAAATCCACATTTTTTCAGATTTGCTCGAAACTCTTCTCAATTCTTTATTTTTTTCTCTTCATGCCGTTTTTATTTTGTCAGTTTTGTTTTGTATTGTTCCGAAGAATCAAAAAAAAAGTTAATTTGCAGACCACGGTGGTCTGCTTTTTAACTCAACACACCATGCAAAGTTAATTTGCAGACCACGGTGGTCTGCTTTTTAATAAAAAAAAGCGTGCAAAGTTAATTTGCAGACCACGGTGGTCTGCTTTTCAACTCAAAAAAGCGTGCAAAGTTAATTTGCAGACCACGGTGGTCTGCTTTTTAACTCAAAAAAGCGTGCAAAGTTAATTTGCAGACCACGGTGGTCTGCTTTTTAACTCAACACACCATGCAAAGTTAATTTGCAGACCACCGTGGTCTGCTTTTTAACTCAACACATCATGCAAAGTTAACTTGCAGACCACGGTGGTCTGCTTTTTAACTCAACACACCTTGCAAAGTTAATTTGCAGACCACGGTGGTCTGCTTTTTTAATTCAAAAAGGCGTGCAAAGTTAATTTGCAGACCACGGTGGTCTGCTTTTTAACTCAACACACCTTGCAAAGTTAATTTGCAGACCACGGTGGTCTGCTTTTTAACTCAACACACCATGCAAAGTTAATTTGCAGACCACGGTGGTCTGCTTTTTAATTCAAAAAGGCGTGCAAAGTTAATTTGCAGACCACGGTGGTCTGCTTTTTAACTCAACACACCTTGTGAATGTTAATTTGCAGACTTTTTTCAGGATTCGATTGCTACATTTTAACTTTTATCGCCGGAAAACATCGAAGCCGCAGAAGCACGATAAAAATGTCAGATGTTTTAAGTCATTTTTTTGTAGCTCAAAAGGTTTTTCGAAACTTGTTTTTCTTAAACAAACCATTAACCAAAAATTGCAAATTTTCTGAATTTTCACAAAAAATTACCAGAAAACATAAAATGAAAATGATTTTTTTCCAAAAGCAGTTAGGAAGGTCCCTAAGGTAGATTATTTTAATTTTTCAAATATTGCTCATTTTCAGTTATAAATTCAGCTTTGCTCATATTAGACTTTTCATTCTAATTTCACACAGAATGTCATTTTTTCAGAATTTTTTGAGGGGATTACTGTAGAGTACACGTGGCAAAATTAAAGTTTAAAATTTCAGATATTTTCAGCCATTTTTTAGGGCTGAAAATGTTTATCACAAACTTTTTTTTCTTGAACAATTTTTCCAGAAAAAATTCTAAAACATTTCCTGACTCAAATTTTGTGCTGAAAAGGCTGAAATTACTTGAAATTGCTGAAAATCAATGTTATCAGCGTTTTCAGTTAAATTTACTACTCATTGCTCATATTAAAAATTAGCAGAAAAATTCGGGGTTTTATTTGAAAAGCACTATTTTCAAGCATTTCTCATATTAAATCCGAGCAATGATTGATAAATTGAAAAAAAAATCTTTTTGAATGAAATAATTCCAGCTTTTTTTTATGACGTGGCATTTTTGATTTGGGCGGGCGATAAGAAAAGGACACGTTAAAAATGAAAAATGAATACAATTTTTTGAATTTTATTTTGCAAAATGAAATGTTTTCTTGGGAAAATTCAGAGTTTTGAGGGTTTTGGGTGATTTTTTGGGTGGTGAATATGATTCTGATAGTATGAAAATGTGATTAGGATTCTGAGATGCTAAAAGTTCCAAAAATATTTTGAGATTTGTGAGTGAAAAAGGTAATTTTTCAAAATAACCTAATTTTTTTGTTGAACTTTAGCTCAAAGCTTGATTGATTCAGAAATAAAAATGTTTATTTTTTTCTTTTTTAGTCGATTTTTGAGAATAAGATTCTAGATTTCTATCAAAATCCTGAAATTTCTTCAAAAAATTCGATTTTTTCTTCAAATTTTCTTGAAAAATTCAAATTTAAAGCTAGAAAAATTCAGAGCAATTTTTATTTCAAGATTCCAGCTGAAAAACCTCGAATTTTCACTGAAATTCAGGTTTTCGGGCAAAAATAGCTGTTTCTCTCGAAATTTAACAAAATTTAGCGAATTTTAGCTCACAAACTTGAAAAATCGATTTTTTTTCAAATTTCAGGCTTTTAAAGGCTTCCTTTACCATTTTCAAGGTCCTAATTTCAAAATACAGGTTTCTTGGTTATTTTTAAGCTTCTGAGCTCAAAAAAACCGGGGTTTAGACCAAAAATTAAGCCCATAGATCATTTTTTGCTTTTGAGCTCAAACATTTGAGTTTCTAGGGCATTTTTGATGCAAAATTTGACCTACAGTTATCCCATAAACATACAAAATATTCAGCTGGCAGCAAATACATTGAACCGGAAAAATAACAGCAGAATTCTTTTCGAAATAGTATCTGCAAGAAAATTCCAATTAAAACTACGGATTTTTGATTTTTCGGAACAATACAAAATAAAACTGACCAAATAAAAACGGCATGAAGAGAAAAAAATGAAGAATTGAGCAGAGTTTCGAGCAAATCTGCAAAAAATGTGGATTTTTGTGAAAGTTTCAGGATTTTTCGGCTGAAAATCACAGAAAATTTAGAAACTCACAAACCATAAACCAAAAATTGCAAATTTTCTGAATTTTTCACAAAAAAATTACCAGAAAACAGAAAATGAAAATGATTTTTATTCATCCCAAAAAAATGAAACACGCATTTTTGAAACGTGACATTGTTTTGATAAAATAATGATAAAGATCTTACGTGTTCCACATTTTTGGGGCTATAAAAGAGGCGGCTCAGAACATCAATTTATTTTTGTCAGAACATCACTCTTTTTGTCAGCTTGTCAGGATTTTTCTACTATGACTGATTCGAGGTAAGAGAAAAGAAAGGAACAGAGTAATTTATTGAAGTATATATTCTTTCAGTGATTCCAAAAACGTGATCTTAGTGTGCAAGCATGCTTGTCATGTTCATAAGCCGCAGGAATCACCGCAAATTGTAATTATTGGTATTGAACATAAAGAAGAAGAGAAGGCAACAGATTTGAGAAGAAAAAAAGCGTCTACTCGAATTGTTGAATCTTCTTCCCAATCAAGCTATGCATCGTCAACATCAAAAAAAAATAAGAAAGAGGCAAGAAAGAAGAAAGAGGCAAGAAAGAAGAGAGAGGAAAGTGATCCAATAGAAAAATGAATATTTGTGTATCCTCTGTTTTTCATCTAATGTTTATCATCCCGCTTAATGTATTTCATCCTTAACGTTTTTCCTACTTAATGTTTATCGTTGGATTTAATGTTTTTCCTAACTAATGTTTATCGTTGGTTTCAATGTTTTTCACCGAAATTATCGTTTTTGAAACGTACATTTTCCACCCGGATATTTTTGGATGATATTTTCTTATTTTTTCCAGAATTTTTGAGAGGACTACTGTAGAGTACACGTGGCAAAATTAAAGCTAAAAATTTCAGATATTTTCAGCCATTTTTTGGGGCTGAAAAAGTTTTTCACAATTTTTTTCTTGATCAATTTTTCCAGAAAAAAATTCAAAAACATTTCCAGATCCAAATTTCGTGCTGAAAATGCTAAAAAAAAATCTACAGTAACCTGGGGTTTGTGTGATCAATAATGAGTCACAATTTGACTGTAAATATCTGAAATTAGGGCTTACAAACTATATACCAGAAAAATGCAAATTTTCTGAGATTTTCACAATTCAAGTTATTTTTCTCAACGCTGAGAAAAGCGAAGAAAACCTATTCAGGTAGGCTGAGAAAATACGAAAAAAGTGAAGAAAATTCATTTTTCTCCGCATTTCTCCTGTTTTCTCAGCGTGTTGAGATAATACTTGAATAGCCCCACAAAAAAAAACAGAAATTGAAAATAATTGTAATTTAACAAAAAAAACGAAAAAATGTCAATTATTAACACAGAGATAGATCAAGAAGTAAAGCATTTTCAGCAAACGTGGTCGAGATTCATGAAAAATTTGAAACGTACATTTTTCGGGATTTTTCTCAGATTCACTAGGAATCAAATCTCCATTAAAAATTCATCAAATTTATGAAACAGTGAATTTTTTGTGAAGAAAGTTATGGATATCAATCAAACTCATCAACTCAAAAAAGAACATAGATCGATTCATTTGGTTACACGCTTTTACAGAAAACATAAAAAAGAGGAAAAAGCAATGTGCATTCATGTTGTTTTTTTATAATAAATTTTTGAAACGTACATTTTCCACCCGGATTTTTTTGAATGATATTTTCTGATTATTGCAGAATTTTAAAGAAGATTACTGTAGGCGTCACGTGGCATCATTCAAGTCCGAAATTTCAGATATTTACAGTCAAATTGTGAGTTTCAGAGCTTTAGAGCACAGATTCTAGCTCCATAGCTAAAAAAAAGTCGATTTTCAGTCCAATTTTGAGCTCTGGGGCTGAAAATTCCATTTTCAGAGCTGCAGAGCTCAAAAACATCGTGTCAAGCTGTATTTTCATCTCTAGAGCATAATTTCAAGCTCCGAAAGTCAAAAAAAGGATTTCTAGTAAATTTTTTGGGCTCTTGAGCACAAATTTTAGCTCCAGAACTCAAAAAGGGCTTTTATTCGGTAATTTTCAGGTTCCAGGCTTAGAATCTGCTATTTTTCAGGCTTCAGGCTTGAAACCTGAGCTTTTTCTCAAATTTCAGACCTGAAACCTAGGCTTTAGGTTGTTTTCTTCAAAATTTCAAGATTTTTCACTGAATTCCAGCTCTTTACTCATCCGAAACCTTAAATTTTCAAATTTCAAGGTTTCGGGTTCGGGAAAAGCTGAAACTTTCAGATTTTCATAATATTCTTTGAATTTTCCCCAAAAATACTTACATTTCATTCAAAATCCGGTTTTCCAATTATTCGATTCTTGTTTTTTCCGCCAAAATCCAATTTCGCTTTCATCCAACATGTTTCTATAAAAATAATCATGAAAAACCCCGGGATTTTTGAATTTTCGGTGAAAACACGCTATGCCAGCCGATACAAAAATTAAATTTCTGGGAGACGCAGACTTTTAACACAGGCAGAGACATCTCTCGCCTTTCCTTCCCCCTCGGGCGATACAGTGTGCTGTTGGCAGACACAGCAGACAAGCAGACACACACACAAAACATAGCGCATGGCCGCGCCGCTTTTTCGTCTGTCGCTGCGTTTATAGACCACATCGGCGTCGCCCTTTGATGTGTTGAGGTCTCGCAGCGACTTTCTAACCGAAAATGAATGTCTGCGTCTCCTCGAATTTGTGTGGTGGCACGACGTGAAAAATACGTAAAAATCGAACCTGACAACTCGAAATCGGCTTTTTCCGAAACATCCATACAAAAATCGATTCTGAAAAAATTAAAAATCAATTTTCGACGAAAAAAATAGAGAAAAATTAACATTTCGAGAGAAAACAACTAAAATACAAACTAAATTCTTCAAATTACATCTAGAAATCAAAAAAAACTCTTCAATTTCAGACAAATTTCAGATATTTTCAGATGACCGCCTCAAAAAAAAAACAAGAAATGAACAGAAATGTGTAAACACGTGAGATCACGCAATAATGCACACAAAAAAATGCGGACGTTTGAAAATAACACATTTGGTCGAAGAAGGCGTTAGACGCAGGGATAACAGGCGTCTTTTGTGTGTTACAACGAAACACACATCTCAAACAACTGCTACAGTGGTTTTCGCGCGCTCTTCGGAAAAGTTTAGGAGAATTTCTCCCCTTTTCTTCATTTTCGGCTGTTTTGTTATAGGAGACAAATCAGCGCGTTTCGTAGATTCGAATTTTATCGACCAGCCCTCCCTCCTCCTCCTTTTTTGGCTTTCCAAAAAAGCAAGAATTTTTAATTTCCAGATCCCAGATTCGAGAAAGTCAAGGAGATTTTCAACGGGGATGAAGCCCAAAGACTCGATTTGTGGCAAAACGTGATCAATTGCCTCGAAAAAGACAGGGCGCCAACCACCATCAAAATCTACGAACACACTATGCGATCCTACATTCGATGGAAACAACGATCAACACCTCGAGGAAGATTGGGAGAAGACGAGTGTCGGCTTCTCTTCCTGGCCGAGCTCATCAAGAACGAAAAAGCAAAATCCGCAATTTCCGCAAACTGCGCCCTCAACTATTTCATGGGCCCGGTGTCAAAACCGAATCGATCGTTGCTGAATTCGATTATTGAGGCGGCCAAACGATCAAAAAGCCCCACAAAACATCGCGAGAAAGTGGAGCCCGAAGACTACTCCAGCTTCACAAACATCCAGGAATTCGATCGAGATTCATTGCGAGTGGCAGCGTTGGGCATCGTGTTATTCAGGGGTTTGTTACGGATTAGCGAGGCTTTGAATTTGCGGAAGGAGGATGCGGAATGGGAGCGCGGAGAACTGAAGATTTCGATCAGGACCTCGAAAACGGACAAATATCACGAAGGAGCCAAAAGACTGCTGGTTCTGTCATCAGAAGAACAAGCGATTTGGCGCGCCCACTCAAAAAACAGCGACAACACCACAAACCCATACATTTTCCAAAATTGGAATTCGAAGACAACTTCGATGTCTTATAACAACGCCAGGAAAGTGATAAACGATCGTTGGAAAAAGTGCGGAAAAGTAAAAAATTATGGAACTCACGCTTTTCGCGGGGGAGCAGCTTCAGCCGCCATAAACGAAGGAGTTTCAGCCGAGAAGGTCCTCAGCTTTGGAAGATGGAAAACCGAGAAGGCCTTCAGAGCATATGTGAAACCAACCACTAGAATATCAATTCCAAGATCCGCGCCAGCTCAACTTGACAAGCGATCGTAAGTCTTAAAGAATCTATACGAAAACGCGGCTAATTTAGCCAAAAGAATTGTGAAAATTTAATAAATTTTTTCAGATCCATTTCCGCCAACAACGACTGCTGATCCACATCCATCATCGTTCTACTCATCTCCGTGTTTGTTTCATCACCTCACAACAACAAGTCGTCGGCTCCAAGCTCCACCGACTGGTCCAGAATAATTTCGTTTTTTGACTGTTCAAATTTTTAGTCAGTTTTGCTAACCGGTAAATTGTTCACGAGCCGCTCGGCTCGTGAAATCTCGTTTAATATACTAATGTTATTATGTTGTATTAATTTGTCTCCAGAACAAATAAAGCCTGTTATCCCTAGTAGAAGCTTTCGAAGACTAAATGTGTTTTTGTCGTAGGAACGGAGACAAAAAAGAAAAAAATAGCAAACCGCAAACACGGCGACGCACAATTGCACACAATCAATTTGAAAATTTTCATTTTTCACAGCCTCCACACCTGCGTGAAGTCTGCGTCTCACTCTCTCGTCGTTCGCTGAGTGAGATGGAGCGCGTTTGCTGCACTCACTTTTTTCCATTGAAAAAAAACTTTTTCTTTATTTTTTCGTGTTTTTTGGTCGCCACGAATTTTTCCTGCGCTAATACGAAGCTAAACTTCAAAATAGAAGAGATTTGGAAGACAGAGATATATAAAACATCTTATTTCGAGTCGAAATTCAAGGAGAACATTCGAGCGGAAAAGTGAGTGTTTTTTCAACTTTTTTGATTTCAAATTTTTGAGGAAGAAAAATAGAAAAATAGAAATTGGAATTTTCAGCCCCAGAGCTTAGAATCGGACTGCAAATTGACTTTTTTGAGCTCTAGAGCTCAGAAAATATAGCTGGAAATCCTGTTTTTGAGCTCTTTGTGCTCTGGAGCTGAAAATTTGACTAAAAATCCTGTTTTTGAGTTTTGGAGCTTGATAAATTAGAAGAAAACAAGATCTATAGATGAAAAATTATAATTATCTGTCAAATTTAAAATGAACTTTTGAATTGACATGAATTTAGTTAATTAGGTAGCTAATTAGCTAATTAAAATTCTAATTAATTATCTTCTTATGCTCATATATCCTTAATTAATGAATTATTTATCAAACAATGATTAAATTATTAATTAGATAATTAATTAGCTCCTTAATTAGCTAATTAGCTCCTCAATCCTTAATTAGCTCCTTAAAGGTGGAGTCCGAGCAAAAATTAAGTTGTGCTCATTTGAAAGAGCATGTTCTAATTAGTACAATCCTCGAAGGATTTTTTCTGGAAGCTTCTCAAACATTGGTTAAAAAATTACAAAGTTCGAAAAAAACAGTGAAACACCGTGTAAAATGGCTTGAAAGTCCATATCTCCAACCGTTTGGAGCTGTGTTTCTCTAATGTTAGAGAAGCTCTCAGAAAAAATCCTTCGAGGATTGTACTAATTGCAACATGCTCTTTCAAATTAGCACAACTTATTTTTTGCTCGGACTCCACCTTTAATTAGCTAATTAATTATCAGTTGAAGCCAAAGTGGTGGCTGGTGTGATTCGAGAAGTTCCAGCAGCATTTGTGTAGGAATTATTTCCGGGTCGCAGCGATTTCCGGAGGCAGATTATGTCTGGAAAATTTTGGGATTTAGGTTAAGTTCGAGCGCGGAAGCGCGAGTGTAGACCGCAAGCTTCCGCGTAGCGGCACTGTCTTCCGCGAAGCGGCCGGGTCTAGGCTTGAAGTTTGAGCCCAGAGGCTTGGCCTAAGCCTAGAGGTAGCCCCGAGCGGCTCTGCCGCGAGTCTAGGCCGCAAGCTTCCGCGAAGCGGCCGGATCTAGGCTTGAAACTTGAGCCCAGAGGCTTGGCCTAAGCCTAGAGCTAATCCCGAGCGGCTCTGCGGCGAGTCTAGACCGCAAGCTTCCGCGTAGCGGCACTATCTTCCGCGAAGCGGCTAGGTCCAGGCTTCAGCTCAAATTCGAGCGCGGAAGCGGCCAGGCTTCCGCATTCCTCCCTCATCCCCACTCACTCCACAGCGATCTCCGATAATCGCTAATCAACAACAGCACAATCATCGGATCAATGCCCGGATATAATTGAGTTATGACAACATGATAATTCGTATTCGCTCCCAATTCCCAACCCAAAATCGGACACGCAAAAAGGAATCCCGTCGGAAAATACATGAAGAGCATGGGAAAAATGGTTTGAACGACGAGCGCGCGAAAAAGTTGGTACTGTAGATGACGTGTCTTGTTGGAGACGCCTTTGAAGCTCTTCATTTGTGAGTAGGTTCGGAAGCCACAGTAGAAGAGCACACCGAAGGAGCCGAACTGCAAGCGGGGAGGGTACTGTAGGGGGGTACTGTAGATTTTTAGCACGAAAATTTGAGAAATTTTGATACCAAATAAGGTTAGGTCACAAAAAATTCCAAAAATTCATACAGTATTTTCTCAGGGTTACTGTAGGTATCCAAGAGTACTGTAGATTTTCTGGGCATCATTTTGACACCAAATACGCTTAGGCTAGGGGTACTGTAGGGGTACTGTAGCTCAGCAAAACTTACGATAACTATGAGATGTTGAAGGATTCCTAGCAGATTTCGATAATCCGGATGTCTCTCATTGAACTCGTCACGATAGAACTGCAAAGGGTACTGTAGTTGGGGTACTGTAGCATTTTTGGCGGGAAAATTTGGAGCATTTTGATATCAAATAACACTAGGCTAGGGTTACTGTAGATATATCATATTGGGTCTCAAAACGCTGCAAATTTTCGCGCGAAAATTTCTCGCTGGGTTACTGTAGCGCGCCAAAAAAACTCACATATTTATACGGCATATAATCGGCCCAATATGAATCGATTCCATACGAATTTTGGCAAATGAATCGGAAGCTTTGCTCAGTTCGAGCATTTTGGGGAAAGAGGAAAAATGCGGAAATTTGCCAGCTGAGAGCAATTGAGATTGTAGCGGTGATCCAGAGGAAGAAATGGGCTCCCGAGAAGTAGTGGAGCAGGTGAGCTCTGCAAAAAAAACTACGTGGCTCCGCTTTTACGCGGGAAAATTTGGAGCGAAACTACGATACTCCGCTTTTACGCGGGAAAAATTGGAGAAAAACTACGATACTCCGGGATTACACTTAAATTAGGTGAAAAAATCGATAAATAACTACGATACTCCGCAGTTACACCTCAAAAAACAAGCAATTTTCCAGGTGTAAACGCGGTGCATCGTTTAAAAACCCCTATTTCAAGCTGCGTAAATGCGGAGCATCGTTTAAACCTGATTTTCAAGCAATTTTGCTGGTGTAAAAGCGGAGCATCGTTAGAAAACCCCTATTTACAACCCCGTAAAGGCGGAGCATCGTTTAAACCTAATTTTCAAGCAATTTTGCTGGTGTAAAAGCGGAGCATCGTTTGAAACTCACTTGCACGTGGCAATATATCTGTACAAAAACTGCAAGGCGAATAACGTGAAGCTCATCGCGTAGCAAAAACAATAGGTGGCTGGAAAAAATTATTGATTTTTCCCGGGGCAAAATCTACAGTATCCTGATCTACAGAGCGAATTTGGGTTCAGAAATCTCCAAATTTCACGGGGAATTGATCTACAGTAGGCCTAGATCTACTACAGTAACCTACTAGACAAAACGCGCGTCACAGTCTTTCCCAAATCGAACCATTTCCTCTGAATCAGGAAAAGTGTGTCGTCGTAGATGTGCAGAAATGGCCTCAAAAACATCTCGACGCACGAGTAGAACATCGTGAACACACAGAACAACATCAGAATGTACTTATAAGATCCGATTTGACGATTCGAGCGGAAGTGGATGAGGAAGATCAGGATTGTGTTGGAGATCAGGGAGAGGGTGAAACCGATTTGACCGGAGATTTGAAGGGCGTGATTCCAGTGGGTGTCGGACATCTGGAAAAGGAAGTTCGGGGAGGGCTGGGCCTAGGCTTCTAGGCTCAGCATAGCCTAGTAGCCTAGACATGGCCGCTACGCGGAAGCTTGCGGTCTACACTCGCGGCTGAGCCGCTCGGGGTTAGGCTTAGGCTTCCAGGCTTAGGCTTCTAGGCTTAGAGAATAGGCCTAAGCCTAACCCAGAAGCCTAGGCGTGGCCGCTGCGCGGTAGACAGTGCCGGTTCGCGGAAGTTTGCGGTCTACACTCGCGGCGGAGCCGCTCGGGTTTAGGCTTAGGCTTCTGGGCTTAGGCTTCTGGGCTTAGAGACTAGGCCTAAGCTTAAACCTGAAGCCTAGGCGTGGCCGCTTCGCGGAAGCTTGCGGTCTACACTCGCGCCAGAGGCGCTCGGGGTTAAGCTCAGGCTTCTGGGCTTCTAGGCTTAGAGACTAGGCCTGAACCTAACCCAGAAGCCTAGGCGTGGCCGCTGCGCGGAAAACAGTGCCGCTACGCGGAAGCTTGCGGTCTACACTCGCGGCAGAGCCGCTCGAGTTCCACGTGGCACTAGGAATTTTCGGGGGTCCGAAAATTGCTCAGCTACAGTACCCTCTACAGAAGAAACCTACAGTAATTTTGATCTGCATAATTTCTAGGGTTACTGTAGCCTAGTACTGTAGCCTACTAGAAGACAATTTTTTTTGAGAAAAAAAATTCCTACAGTACCTCTCTACAGTAATCCTGGCACAATTTCATGATCTGCAGAAATGTTCCTACAGTAGTGATTTTCGAGCTACAGTACCATCTACAGTACTCTTGGGAACATCACAAAAATTAAGCCTAAGCTTAAGCCTGAGCCCAAATCTGAAGCCTAGGCGTGGCCGCTTCGCAGAAAACAGTGCCGCTACGCGGAAGCTTGCGGTCTACACTCGCAGCTCCGCTGCTCGGCGGCTCTTTTTAAAGAGCCCAAATTGAGCTCCAGATCAGAATACAAATTGCTCATTTTTCTTCGAAAAAACAAAAATGTCCAAAACAAAAATGTCCAAAACAACACAAAATTTTGAACAGAAAGACTAGAGAATAATTGCAAAGATCTGATTTATGTTAAGTTGCGAGCGGCGGAGCCGCGAGTGTAGACCGCAAGCTTCCGCGTAGCGGCCGCGAATTTTCTGCGAAGCGGCTACGCCTAGGCTTCAGGTTTAGGACATAGGCTTCAGGATAAACCTAAGTCTAAGCCTAGTTTGATCTATGGGCCTTATCCCAAGCCTAAACTTTAATCCTAGTCCTAGGCTTCTAAAAGTTGAGCCCCTGATTTAAATCTTTAGCAAGTCCCTAAGCTAAGGTCTTGTTGGAGAAGCCTAAGCCTAGGGTTTCAGCTAAGCCTAAGCCTAGGATTTTAGCTGAGCCTAAGCCTAAGATTTTTATTTTTTTTTTTTTGATAACAAAAATGTGAATAGAAAATTAATTGCACCTGGGTCCTAATCAAATCAAATCAAAAAAATAATCAAAAACATGTGTTCGGAGCTCAAAAAATCAAAAATCCCAAAAAAAATTTTGGAGCTCATGTTTCAAAGTTTTTTTTTTCAAATTTCACTAAAAATCTGAAATTTGGAGCATTTTGAGCCCGGAAAATGCTCCAAAAATCAAATTTTTCGATAATTGCACATCCTAGAGGACCAATTTTCAGTCAAAAATCAACATTTCTCTGAAATTTAGGATTTTCAGCCAAAAAAAAGGAGTAATTTATAGTTTTTTCGGTTGTTCCAGCACCTAAAAGTCTACAGTAACTCATTGATATACAGTACTCTGAAACTACAGTAATTTTAGGTTTTTAATGCTGCCACGTGTACTCTACAGTAATCCCATCAAAAATTCTTGAAAAAATCAGAAAATTTCATTCAAAAAATCCGCGTGAAAATTATACGTTTCAAAAATATTGGAAATATTTTTCAAAAAGATTTTTTTTATTATCTGTGGTGTTTCCTGTGGATGGTGAAAAAAAATGAATAAATTTTTAATTACATAATTAATTAGCTAATTAATTATCATTTGAAGCCAAAGTGTAGGCTGGTGTGATTTGAGAAGTTTCAGCTCAAAAAATGGCATGATACGGTATTCTTCTTGGTTTTTTTTTTCAGAATTGGAAAGCTGTTGTTAATTACTTACAGATTTCGAGCATTTTGAGCCCGGAAACGTGAATTTTCGTGAAATTTTAACCAGAGAGCTTTCCAGGCTCTTAAAAACTCCAAAAATCTGAAATTTTGTGATTTTTGGAGCATTTTGAGCCCGGAAACTTGGCTTTTTGTGCGATCAAAAAGCTTTTGGTGCATTTTGACCAAATTTTCAGTCAAAAATCAACATTTCTCTAAAATTTAGGATTTTCAGCCAAAAAATCACCAAAATTTTCAGACAAATAGCTACGACACTCCGCTCGGAACACTCAGCAAACAATTGAAAAAACAAAAACAACTTTCGACACCGTATTTGGTCTTGAGTGGATCCAATGATCAGTGAGTTTTTTTTTGGCGGGAAATTTGAAAATTCAAAAATTATTGATTTTTTTTTGCAGCTCGAGCCTCAAAAAGGAGTAATTTATTTTATTTTTTGTGATTTTTTTCTTGAATAAATTGTTTCATATTTTTTAAAAGTTTTAAACATGGTTCCGTACTAAAATTTTCAGCTGAAAATGCTGAAAATTATCATTTTTAATAATGATAAGTAATTTCAGCATTTTCAGCACAAAATTTCAGCACGGAACTATTTTTCAAGCAGATTTGTGCTTCATCAATGCTTCATTTAATTATTCTCAAGAATTTCAAGATTCTAGACTCAAATTTTGTGCTGAAAATGCTGGAAACATTGATTTTCAGCAATTTAGAGTAATTTCAGCATTTTCAGCACAAAATTTGAGTCAGGAAATGTTTTTGAAATTTTTTCTGGAAAAATAGATCAAGAAAAAAAGTTTGCGAAAAACTTTTTTCAGCCACAAAAAATGGCTGAAAATATCTGAAATTATTTCTTTAATTTTTCCACATGTACTCTACAGTAATCCCCTCAAAAATTCTGACAAAATCAGAAAATATTATCCAAAAAAATCCGGGTGGAAAATGTACGTTTCAAAAATATTGGAAATATTTTTCAAAAAGATTTCAAAATGATTGCTTACATATTTTTATTACTTGCAATTATTAGAACTGAAAGAATATATACTTCAATTAATTACTCTGTTCCTTTCTTTTTCTCTTATTTTTCCATGTTTCGCTTGAATGGATTGCGAAAATTTTTCTAGTATTTCTAGCTTTCGAAAATAAAGTGATGCTCATTGAGCCGCCTTTTTATAGCCCCAAAAATGTGTTCCGAACTTCAATTTTTCAGCTGAAAATGCTGATAATTTCAGCACAAAATTTCAGCGCGGAACTATTTTTCAAGCAGATTTGTGCTTCATTAATGCTCCATCTAATTAGTTTCAATAATTTAATCAGATCAAGATTCTAGACTCAAATTTTGTGCTGAAAATGCTGGAAACATTGATTTTCAACTCAAAATTTCAAATTTCCAACCAAAAAAACTCATTTTTCCATCAATTTTCACTCGAAAACCACAATTATCGATTGATTTTTCACCAAAAAATGAAAAAAAAGTGTGCAACGACACTCCGCAAAATGACGGCTTGCCCGTTGTTTAGCACTTTGTTGGCTTTTTCTTTTTTTTTTTAAGTTTAAAAGCTCCCAGGAAATGATTTACAACTTCGACAAACAAAAAAAAATCAAATTTTCAAACGTCCGCATTTTTTTGTGTGCATTATTGCGTCATCTCACGTGTTTACACATTTCTGTTCATTTCTGGTTTTTTTGAGGCGGTCATCTGAAAATAGCTGAAATTTGTCTGAAATTGAAGAGTTTTTTGATTTCTAGATGTAATTTGAGGAATTTAGTTTGTATTTTAGTTGTTTTCTCTCGAAATCTTAATTTTTCTCTATTTTTTTCGTCAAAAATTGATTTTTAATGTTTTCAGAATCGAGTTTTGTATGGATGTTTCGGAAGAAGCCGATTTCGAGTTGTCAGGTTTGATTTTTACGTATTTTTCTCCGGAAATTCAAAAATCCTGGGGTTTTTCATGATTATTTTTATAGAAACATTTTGGATGAAAGCGAACTTGGATTTTGGCGGAAAAAACAAAAATCGAATGATTGGAAAACGGATTTTGAGTGAAATGTAAGTATTTTTGGGGAAATTCAAAGAATATCAGGAAAATCTGAAAGTTTCACCTTTTCCCGAACCCGAAACTTAGAAATTATTGATTTTTTTAGGATTTTATTGATGAAAATGATGGAGGAATAGCGGATTTTGGTTTTTGGCGATGAAAATCGAGAAAAATCAATCGATTCGAGGAAATAATGATAAAAGTGAGTTTTTTTTGTTTTTGTTGGGAATTTGGAGGAAACTTTGCTTGATAAGGACTGAAAAATCAAGTTTTTGAGCTCTGCAGCTCTGAAAATGGAATTTTCAGCCCCAAAGCTTAGAATTGGAGTGCAAAATCAGTTTTCTTGAACTCTGGAGCCAGAAAATATGCTCTAGAGCTAAAAAAAATAGCTGGAAATTTTGGTTTTGTGCTCTGGAGCTGAAAATTTAACAAAAAATGCTAATTAATTATGTTCTTTTGAATTGACATGCTCATAGTTAATTATTTATAAAACAATGAATGAATTATTAATTACATAATTAATTAACTAATTAATTATCACTTGAAGCCAAAGAAAGTGGATGGTGTGATTCGAGAAGTTCCAGCTCAAAAAATTCTGAAAAAAATCATAAAATATCATCCAAAAATATCCGGGTGGAAAATGTACGTTTCAAAAATATTGGAAATATTTTGATCTCTCCTCTCGCGTAATTCTTCTATCTGACCGTCTCTAAATATCATTTTCTTTTCTGTGTCCTATTTCTACAGTAACTCAATGTTCTACAGTGACAGCAGCTCAAAATTTCAGATATTTTCAGTCTTTTGATAAAATTCTTGAAAATAATTAAATGAAGCGTTCCTTGACCAAAAACCTTGCTTTAAACATAGTTCCGTACTCGAATTTTCAGCTGAAAATGCTGAAAATTATCATTTTTGATAATTCTAAGTAATTTCAGCATTTTCAGCACACAATTTCAGCGCGGAACTATTTTTCAAGCAGATTTGTGCTTCATTAATGCTTCATTTAATTATTCTCAAGAATTTCAAGATTCTAGACTCAAATGTTGTGCTGAAAACGCTGGAAACATTGATTTTCAGAAATTTTAAGTAATTTCAGCATTTTCAGCACGGAATTTGAGCCAGGAAATGTTTTTGAATTTTTTTTGGAAATCTGAGCAAGAAGAAAAAATTTTCAGCCACAAAAAATGGCTGAAAATATCTGAAATTTTTAGCTTTGATTTTGCCACAGTAATCTTCTTAAAAATTCTTGAAAAAATCAGAAAACTTCATTCAAAAAATGGGTGAAAAAGCCTAAAAATCTGAAATTTGGAGCATTTTGAGTCCGGAAAATGCTCCAAAAATCCAATTTTCAGTCAAAAATCAACATTTCTCTGAAATTCAGGATTTTCAGCCAAAAAAAAGGAGTAATTTATATTTATTGATTTTTTTCTTGAATAAACTTTGGTGGAAAAGCGGAGCATCGTTTGACAAATCAATTTCATATCTACAAAAATCAATGAAAATTTAGAGACCAGTTTTTTTTCGGTTGTTCCAGCATCTAAAAGTCTACAGTAACTCATTGATATACAGTACTCTGAAACTACAGTAATTTTAGGTTTTTAATGCTGCCACGTGTACTCTACAGTAATCCCATCAAAAATTCTGAAAAATTCATAAAATGTCATCCAAAAAAATCCGGGTGGAAAATGTACGTTTCAAAAATATTGGAAATATTTTTCAAAAAGATTTCAAAATGATTGCTTACATATCAGAATAACTTTTTTGGAATTATCACTGAAAGAATATATACTTCAATTATTTACCCTGTTTTCATCATTTTCTCTTACCTTTCCATGTTTCGCTAGAGTGGATTGCGAAAATTTTTCTAGTATTTCTAGCTTTCCCAAAAATGTGTTCCGAACTCAATTTTTCAGCTGAAAATGCTGATAATTTCAGCACAAAATTTCAGCGCGGAACTATTTTTCAAGCAGATTTGTGCTCATACATGAACTACCTCTCCGAAACCGGAGGGAAGGGGGTTAACTTTTGAAAAATTTTTGTGGGGGCCTTAACTTTTCAAAAAAAATTGAAGAAAAAAATTAGGAAAAAAATTAGAAAAAAATTTTTTTAGAAAAAAAATTTTTTTTTCATTTTTTTTTTCGAAATTTTCAGATGCCAAGAAGGTGATATGTGTTTAAAATGCAGTAAAGTTATTGTTTATTCAATGTTACATAATCTTGTTTTGATTTATTGTGGTTTCTTTCAAGTAACCCCCCTTCCTAGATCTAGAATGAGCATTTTTAAGCATTTTTGGGCAATTTTGTTGAATTTTCATATAAATATAGCATCTAATCGTTACTAAGCGCGATAAAACTTGTTTCAAATATAGTTTAACTCTCGTAGATAAGATATATAACAACTCTTGTCAATTTGGTGACGTTTCCTTTCTTCTATCCCCCCTCCGTATGTTGAAAACCAACATTTTCTTCAATTTTCAGGTATTTTGACAAATTTTTTTCTCCTGAAACCACTAAATGGGCATTGATTCGTGCTAAACACTAGTAAATAAGTATAGAAAGGTATGTCTAACAATTATCTGGAGTATAATTGCAAATTACGACCTCTATCCCCCCACTCCGTTTTCGGAGCCTGAGACTCCGAAAACGGAGTGGGGGGATAGAAGCTCCATTTCTTCATAAAACTTCAAAGAATTGTTTGGCATACCTTTCTATACTTATTTACTAGTGTTCATCACGAATCAATGTCCGTATAGTGGTTTCTGACTGAAATAAATATCGAAAAATTCTGAAAATTGAAGAAAAATGGTGGTTGCTAACTTACGGAGGGGGGATAGAAGAAAGGAAACGTCACCAAATTGACCAGAGTTGTTATATATCTTATCTACGAGAGTTAAACTATATTTGAGACAAGTTTTAATTGGATTGATTCAGTAGAACATAACAAATTGAACATTGAGTAAATTTTCAAAATAAAAAATAAAAAATCATACACATAGAGGGAATCGAACTGGTGACCTCCTGACTGAAACCCCCACGCGTTAGCCAGTACACCAGGAGCACCGCGCAGAAACGGGCGGCGAATGTTTATGATAAAGAAAGTTTGGCGCCGTAGAATTAAAAAAAATGTGGCGGAAGCAAATATAAAAATTCCTTTTTTTTCAGAAATTTTCGTAAAAGCCTCCGCCATCAATTAATTTGTAAGACTTGAGAAAAAAACTATTGTATGATTTCCACGGCATGTTGAACTTTTTTTCATAAGTCAGAAAAAAATTTTACAAGAGGGGGGGGGGGGGTTAACTTTTACGAATTTTTTTTTTCTGGAGGGGGTTAACTCGGGGGTCCCCGGAGCGACTAGTTCATGTATGTTTGTGCTTCATTAATGCTCCATCTAATTATTTTGGTCAATTTTTTTTCCCAAGCTGACTAATTTTTGCATTTTCACATTTGGGAAGTGCATAATTTTAAGTTTAGGACGGGAGAAACTGATATGTGGGCTCAATACTCGATTGGCTTTGAAATATAGGAAATTCCGGAAAAAAAAAACTCGGAATGTTTCGGGAGAAAAAAAAACTTGGGAAAAAAATTTGGGAAAAATAGCTTGGGGAAACAATTGATCATTACAATAATCGATTGATTTTTCACCAAAAAATGTGGAACACGTAAGATCTTTATCATTATTTTATCACTAAAAGTCTACAGTCTGATTCTAGAGACTGTAGCTGTGGCAAAATGAAATTTTTAATAATTTTCAGCACAACATTTGAGTCAGGAAATGTTTTTGAATTTTTTTCTGGAAATTTTATCAAGAAAAAAAATTTGCGAAAATATCTGAAATTTTTAGTTTTAATCTTGCCACGTGTACTCTACAGTAATCCCCTCAAAAATTCTTGAAAAATCAGAAAATATTCTCCAAAAAATCCGGGTGGAAAATGTACGTTTCAAAAAATATTGGAAATATTTTTCAAAAAAAAATTCGAAATTGGTAGAACGATTAGAATGATGACGAAAATAAATTGATGTTCTGAGCCGCCTCTTTTATAGCCCCAAAAATGTGGAACACGTAAGATCTTTATCATTATTTCATCGAAACAATGTCACGTTTCAAAAATCCGTGTTTCATTTTTTTGGGATGAATAAAAATCATTTTCATTTTCTGTTTTCTGGTTATTTTTTTGTGAAAAATTCAAAAAATTTGCAATTTTTGGTTTATGCTTTGTGAGTTTCTAAATTTTCTGTGATTTTCAGCCAAATAATCTTGAAAATTTCACAAAAATCAACAACAAGCTGAAATTTCCAGATTTTCAGCTTCAAACGCAATGAAAATTTTGATTTTCAGCGTTCACTTCGAAAAATCTCGGATATTCAGCTTTTCTTCAATGAAAAACTTGAAAATTCTGATTTTTTATTGAAGAAAAACAAATTTATGCGATTTTCAAGAGAAAAAAGTGGTTTTTGATAGAAACCAGTTGTTTTCAGGCTGAAAATCTCATATTTTCAACCAAAAAACTCATTTTTCCATCATTTTTCACCCAAAAACCACAATAATCGATTGATTTTTCACCAAAAAATAAAAAAAGTGTGCAACGACACTCCGCAAAATGACGGCTTGCCCGTTGTTTAGCACTTTGTTGGATTTTTCTTTTTTTTTTTCAAGTTTTTTTAAGTTTAAAAGCTCCCAGGAAATGATTTACAACTTCGACAAACAAAAAAAAACGAAAAAAAATCAAATTTTCAAACGGCCGCATTTTTTTGTGTGCATTATTGCGTCATCTCACGTGTTTACACATTTCTGTTCATTTCTGGTTTTTTTTTAGGCGGTCATCTGAAAATAGCTGAAATTTGTCTGAAATTGAAGAGTTTTTTGATTTCTAGATGTAATTTGAGGAATTTAGTTTGTATTTTAGTTGTTTTCTCTCGAAATGTTAATTTTTCTCAATTTTTTTCGTCAAAAATTGATTTTTAATTTTTTCAGAATCGAGTTTTGTATGAATGTTTCGGAAAAAGCCGCTTTCTAGTTTTCAGGTTTGATTTTTACGTATTTTTCACCGGAAATTCAAAAAATCCCGGGGTTTTTCATGATTATTTTTATAGAAATATGTTGGATGAAAGCGAAATTGGATTTTGGCGGACAAAACAACAATCGAATGATTGGAAAACGGATTTTGAGTGAAATGTAAGTATTTTTGGGGAAAATTTAAAGAATATTATGAAAAATCTGAAAGTTTCAGCTTTTCCCGAACCCGAAAACTTGAAATTTGAAAAATCAAGGTTTTGGGTGAGGAAAAAGCTGGAATTTCAGTAAAAAATCTCGAAATTTTGAAGAAAACAACCTAAAGCCTAGGTTTTAGGTATGAAATTTGAGAAAAAGCTGAAATTTCAGGCAGGAAGCCTGAAATTGACCCTGAAAATCGACTTTTTTGAGCTCTGCAGCTAGAATTTGTGCTCAAGAGCTCTGCAACTCACAATTTGAATGTAAATATCTGACATTTCGGACTTAAATGGTGCCACGTGACGCCTACAGTAATCTTCTTTAAAATTCTGCAATAATCAGAAAATGTCATTTAAAAGCAACTCGGCGGAAAATGTACGTTTCAAAAATTTATTATAAAAAAACAACATGAATGCACATTGCTTTCTCCTCTTTTTTATGTTTTCTGTAAAAGCGTGTAACCAAATGAATCGATCTATGTTCTTTTTTGAGTTGATGAGTTTGATTGATATCCATAACTTTCTTCACAAAAAAATTCACTGTTTCAAAAATTTGATGAATTTTTAATGGAGATTTGATTCCTAGTGAATCTGAAAAAAATCTCGAAAAATGTACGTTTCAAATTTTTCATGAATCTCGACCACGTTTGCTGAAAATGCTATACTTCTTGATCTATCTCTGTGTCAATTAATTGACATTTTTCGTTTTCTTTTGGGATAAATTACAATTATTTTCAATTTCTGTGTTTTTTTTTGGTAATTTTTTGTGAAAAATCCAGAAAATTTGCAATTTTCTGGTATATAGTTTGTAAGCCCTAATTTCAGATATTTTCAGTCAAATTATGACTCACTGTAGATCACACAAACCCCAGGTTACTGTAGATTTTGTAGATCAAATTTAAGCTTCAAAATTTGTATAATTTTTTGAGTACTGTAGTTTTAGAGTACTGTATATTAATGAATTACTGTAGTTTTCCGATATTTTTAGCACAAAATTTGGATCTGGAATTGTTTTTGAAGTGAAATTTTTGGTCAGGGGATTAGTTTCAAGAATTTAATCAGATAAAGATTTTTGATCCAAATTTTATGCTGAAAACGCTGGAAACATTGATTTTCAGAAATTTCAAGTAATTTCAGCATTTTCAGCACAAAATTTGGATCTGGAAATGTGTTAAAATTTTTTCTGAAATTTGAGCAAGAAAAAAAAAGTTTGTGATAAACATTTTCAGCCCCAAAAAATGGCTGAAAATATCTGAAATTTTTAGTTTTAATTTTGCCACGTGTACTCTACAGTAATCCCCTCAAAAATTCTGAAAATATTATCCAAAAATATCCGGGTGGAAAATATACGTTTCAAAAATATTGGAAATATTGATTTCTTGATGCACTACTTCGATTTGCTTGATTTTGAAGAAGATTGAACAATTCGAGTAGACGCTTTTTTTTTCTCAAATCTGTTGCCTCCTCTTCTTGTTTATGTTCAATACCAACAATTATAATTTGCGGTGATTCCTGCGGCTTATGAACGTGGCAAGAATGTTTGCATATCAGAATAGTTTTTTTGGAATCACTGAAAGAATATATACTTCAATAAATTACTCTATTCCTTTCTTTTCTCTTACCTCGAATCAGTCATACCAAAGTAGAAAAATCACAAGCCTGACGAGCTGACAAAAATAGAGTGATGTTCTGACGAAAATAAAGTGATATTCATTGAGCCGCCTTTTTTATAGCCCCAAAAATGTGGAACACGTAAGATCTTTATCATTATTTCATCGAAACAATGTCACGTTTCAAAAAATCCGTGTTTCATTGTTTTGGGATGAATAAAAATCATTTTCATTTTCTGTTTTCTGGCAATTTTTTTGTGAAAAATTCAGAAAATTTGCAATTTTTGGTTTATGCTTTGTGAGTTTCTAAATTTTCTGTGATTTTCAGCCGAAAAATCCTGAAACTTTCACAAAAATCCACATTTTTTGCAGATTTGCTCGAAACTCTGCTCAATTCTTCATTTATTTCTCTTCATGCCGTTTTTATTTGGTCAGTTTTATTTCGTATTGTTCCGAAAAATCAAAAATCCGTAGTTTTAATTGGAATTTTCTTGCAGATACTACTACTATGAAAAGGATTCTGCTGTTATTTTTCCGGTTCAATGTATTTGCTGCCAGCTGAATATTTGAATAAAGATTGGCTGAAATTGTGTTGTCACTGTATTTTTTTTGCAATTCGAGGGAGACGCAGACTTTAACGTGTGCAGACAAATCTCTCGTCGAAAAAGGGAGAGAAATAGTGTGTGGCAGACACACAGCGCGTCGAGACCAGCGAGTGTCTGCGTCTCCTCGAAATTGCATTTTTCTATTAGAAAAAAACACAGTGTTGTATTTTTTATAAATTCACTGTTCTCATCTTGAAAAAGCTAGTTTTCCAACGAAATTGGTCCCTAGGAGTGCTTAGGCTGACATATGATCAAAAATGGGTTGAAAATGATTTCCTGGGAGCTTTCAAACTTCAAAAATCTCAAAATTTGAGCCAAAAAACTCGAAAAAGCAAGAAAAAAAAAGAAAAATGAAAAAAAAGACAACAAAATGCTAAACAACGGGCAAGCCGTCATTTTGCGGAGTGTCGTTGCACACATTTTTTTATTTTTTTGTGAAAAATCAATCGATAATTGTGGTGGATTGACATTTTGTGCTGAAAATGCTGCAAACATTGATTTTCAGCATTTTCAGCACAAAATGTTTTTCTGGTAAAATTGATCAAGAAAAAAGTTTGCGCAAAACTCTTCCAGCTACAAGGGTTGAAAATATCTGAAATTTTTCGCTTTAATTTTGCCACGTGTACTCTACAGTAATCCCCTCAAAAATTCTGAAAAAAAATCAGAAAATATGATCCAAAAAAATCCGGGTGGAAAATGTACGTTTCAAAAATATTGGAAATATTTCCGCTGAGTGGATTGAGCTGATTTTTGACTGACGGACGAAGCATTTGTTGATGAATCAGAACTTTCGATATATTGTTTTTTCTTGTTTTCATCCAATTGAATATCCGCCTTGGTTCTCTTCAACTTGGTGATTGCTTCTTCTTCTTCTTCGGGGTTTTCCCCAATAAATACAATTTTTTGAGTTGGTTGTGGAACATGAAACAAACATTCATGTTTAAAAATATATATTGTTTTGCAATTCGATCTGAAAGAATATACAATAAAAAAAAAAATTAAAAAATAAAAAATAAAAAAAAATCTTAGCCTCACCCCCAAAATTTTCAAAAATCCTCTTACCTCGACATTTGAGTCATTTTTGGAGCAGTGGGTTTGGAGCAAAACCTTTTTGGAGAAAAAAGTTTGCGAAAAACCTATTCACCTACAAAAAATGACTTAGAATATCTGAAATTTTTAGCGTGCTTCTGCGGCTTCGATGTTTTCCGGCGATAAGAGTTAGAATGTGGCGATCGAATCCTGAAAAACATTTTTTCAAAAATTTGGAAAACTTTCGTTAATTACTTACACCGGTTGATGTTTCGAAGGTCTCCCAACCTTTCCGTTCGATCTTCCCTTTTGTCATTCAAAAAGAAACTCGACGGAAAATGTACGTTTCAAAAATTTATTTAAAAAATCTGAGTTTTCCCGATGTCGATGGTGAACGGCTCGAACGATCATTTTGATTGGAATGTTTTCGAGGAGGCATTCGATTTTGCTCAATCTCACCTATTTCTTTCACCAAAAAATAAAAAAAATGTGTGCAACGACACTCCGCTAAATGACGGCTTGCCCGTTGTTTAGCGCTTTGTTGGATTTTTTTCATTTTTCTTTTTCTTTTTTTCAAGTTTTTTAAAGTTTAAAAGCTCCCAGGAAATGATTTACAACTTCGACAAACAGAAAAAACGAAAAAAAAATCAAATTTTCAAACGTCCGCATTTTTTTGTGTGCATTATTGCGTCACCTCACGTGTTTACACATTTCTGTTCATTTCTTGTTTTTTTTGAGGCGGTCATCTGAAAATAGCTGAAATTTGTCTGAAATTGAAGAGTTTTTTGATTTCTAGATGTAATTTGAGGAATTTAGTTCGTATTTTAGTTGTTTTCTCTCGAAATGTTAATTTTTCTCAATTTTTTTTCGTCGAAAATTGATTTTCATTTTTTTCAGAATCGAATTTTGTATGAATGTTTCGAAAAAAGCCGATTTCGAGTTGTCAGGTTTGATTTTTACGTATTTTTCACCGGAAATTCAAAAATCCCGGGGTTTTTCATGATTATTTTTATAGAAACATTTTGGATGAAAGCGAAATTGGATTTTGGCGGACAAAACAACAATCGAATGATTGGAAAACCGGATTTTGAGTGAAATGTAAGTATTTTTGGGGGAAATTTGAAGAATATTAGGAAAATCTGAAAGTTTCAGCTTTTTTCGAACCCGAAACATTGAAATTTGAAAAATCAAGGTTTCGGGTGAGGAAAAAGCTGGAATTTCAGTAAAAAATCTTGAAATTTTGAAGAAAACAACCTGAAGCCTAGGTTTTAGGTATGAAATTTGAGAAAAAACTGAAATTTAAGGCATGAAGCCTGAAAACTGTAGTTTTAGAGTACTGTATATTAATGAATTACTGTAGTTTTCCAACATTTTTAGCACAAAATGTGGATCTGGAAATATTTTTGAAGTGAAATTTTCGGTTAAGGAATGCTTAACTATATTTATTTTCAAGAAGTTGATATAGATATGTTTCTAGGGTGGAATTTTGTGCTGAAAATGATGAAAATATCGATTGTCAGCTATTATAAACGTTTCCAGCATTTTTAGCACAAAATTTGGATCTGGAATTGTTTTTCAAGTGAAGGTTTTGGTCAAGGGGATTAGTTTCAAGAATTTAATAAGATCAAGTTTCTAGACTCAAATTTTCTGCTGAAAATGCTGGAAACATTGATTTTCAGCAATTCCAAGTAATTTCAGCATTTTCAGCACAAAATTTGAGCCAGAAAATGTTTTTTAGTTTTTTTTCTGGAAAAATTGATCAAGAAAAAAAAGTTTTCGAAAAACTTGTTCAGCCCCCGAAAATGGCTGAAAATATCTGAAATTTTTAGTTTTAATTTTGCCACGTGTACTCTACAGTAATCCCCTCAAAAATTCTGAAAATATCATCCAAAAAAATCCGGGTGGAAAATGTACGTTTCAAAAATATTGGAAATATTGATTTCTTGATGCACTACTTCGATTTGCTTGTTGATGATGCATTTTCATCCGATGTTGATTGTTGATTCCGAACTGAAAAAACATTTATGTAAATTATTGATTTTTGGTGGAAAAATTGAATTTTTTGCGAGTTTGAATGTAAAACTTTGACCCAAAACCTAGAAAAAACACGAAAATGAAAAAAACACTAAATAAAAGTGAGTTTTTTCTTGTTTTTGATGGGAATTTAGAGGAAAACTTTGTTTGATAAGGACTTAATTGACTTTTTTGAGTTCTGGAGCTTGAAATTATACTCTAGAGCTGAAAATACAGCTGGAAATCGTGTTTTTGAGCTCTGCACCTCTGAAAATAGAATTTTCAGCCCAGAAATACATAAATAAACATTTTCATATCTGAATCAACCAAGCTTTGAGCAAAAATTGAACAAAAAATGGTATTCTCGAAAAAAAACATTTTTTTCTCTGAAAGGATTACTGTAGAAAAATCCACATGGCAAAATATATATTTTCTAGTCAAACTGTCATTTTTCAGGTCAACAATTCACTGTATTTTTAGAGTACTGTAGATCAATGAATTACTGTAGCTACTGTTGTTTGAAAGTTACTGTGAATCGGAATATTTTCTGATTTTTTCAGAATTTTTGAGGGGATTACTGTAGAGTACACGTGGCAAAATTAAAGCTAAGAATTTCATATATTTTCAGCCATTTTGTAGCTGAACAAGTTTTTCGCAAACTTTTTTTTCTTGATCAATATTCCAGAAAAAAATTCAAAAACAGTTCCCAAAAAGATTTCAAAATGATTGCTTACAAATTATTATGATTTATTATATGGTCCTTATTTATATGGTCCTGACTCAAATTTTGTGCTGAAAATGCTGGAAACATTGATTTTCAGCGATTTTAAGTAATTTCAGCATTTTCAGCACACAATTTCAGCGCGGAACTATTTTTCAAGCAGATTTGTGCTTCATTAATACTTCATTTAATTATTCTCAAGAATTTCAAGATTCTAGACTCAAATTTTGTGCTGAAAATGCTGGAAACATTGATTTTCAGCAATTTAAAGCATTTTCAACACAAAATTTGAGTCAGGAAATGTTTTTGAATTTTTCTGGAAAAATTGGTCAAGAAAAAAAAGTTTGCGAAAAACTTGTTCAGCCACAAAGAATGGCTGAAAATATCTGAAATTTTTTGCTTTAATTTTTCCACGTGTACTCTACAGTAATCCCCTCAAAAATTCTGAAAAAATCATAAAATATGATCCAAAAATATCCGGGTGGAAAATGTACGTTTCAAAAATATTGGAAATATTTTTCAAAAAGGTTTCAAAATGATTGCTTACACATTTTTATTACTTGCAATTATTAGAACTGAAAGAATATATACTTCAATTAATTACTCTGTTTTCATCATTTTCTCTTACCTTTCCATTTTTTTTGATTTTCAATTCAAAATTTCAAATTTCCAACCAAAAAACTCATTTTTCCATCATTTTTCACTCAAAAACCACAATTATCGATTGATGTTTCACCAAAAAATTGAAAATGTGTGCAACGACACTCCGCAAATGACGGCTTGCCCGTTGTTTAGCACTTTGTTGGCTTTTTCTTTTTTTCAAGTTTTTTTAAGTTTAAAAGCTTTCAGGAAATGATTTACAACTTCGACAAACAAAAAAAATCAAATTTTCAAACGTCCGCATTTTTTTGTGTGCATTATTGCGTCATCTCACGTGTTTACACATTTCTGTTCATTTCTGGTTTTTTTTTGAGGCGGTCATCTGAAAATAGCTGAAATTTGTCTGAAATTGAAGAGTTTTTTGATTTCTAGATGTAATTTGAGGAATTTAGTTTGTATTTTAGTTGTTTTCTCTCGAAATATTAATTTTTCTCTATTTTTTTTCGTCCAAAATTGATTTTTAATTTTTTCAGAATCGATTTTTGTATGGATGTTTCGAAAAAAGCCGATTTCAAGTTTTCAGGTTTGATTTTTACGTATTTTTCTTCGGAAATTCAAAAATCCCGTGGTTTTTCATGATTATTTTTATAGAAATATGTTGGATGAAAGCGAGTTTGGATTTTGGCGGGAAAAACAACAATCGAATTATTGGAAACCGGATTTTGAGTGAAATGTAAGTATTTTTTGAGGAAAATTTAAAGAATATTAGGAAAATCTGAAAGTTTCAGCTTTTCCCGAATCCGAAAACTTGAAATTTGAAAAATCAAGGTTTCGGGTGAGGAAAAAGCTGGAATTTCAGTCAAAAATCTTGAAATTTTGAAGAAAACAACCTAAAGCCTAGGTTTTAGGTATGAAATTTGAGAAAAAGCTGAAATTTAAGGCATGAAGCCTGAAAAATAGCAGATTTCAAGCCTAGAACCTGAAAATTACCAAAAAAAAAAGCCCTTTTTGAACTCTGGAGCTAGAATTTGTGCTCAAGAGCTCAAACATTTACTAGAAATCCTGTTTTTGACTTCACAAAAAATTCACTGTTTCAAAAATTTGATGAATTTTTAATGGAGATTTGATTCCTAGTGAATCTGAAGAAAATCCCGAAAAATGTACGTTTCAAATTTTTCATGAATCTCGACCACGTTTGCTGAAAATGCTTTACTTCTTGATCTATCTCTGTGTTAATAATTGACATTTTTTTGTTTTCTTTTTGGATAAATTACAATTATTTTCAATTTCTGTTTTTTTTTGGTAATTTTTTGTGAAAAATGCAGAAAATTTGCAATTTTCTGGTATATACATAGTTTGTAAGCCCTAATTTCAGATATTTTCAGTCAAATTATGACTCACTGTAGATCACACAAACCCCAGGTTACTGTAGATTTTGTAGATCAAATTTAAGCTTCAAAATTTGTATCATTTTTTGAGTCAACGTTTACTGTAGTTTTAGAGTACTGTATATCAATGAATTACTGTAGTTTTCCAGCATTTTCAGCATAAAATTTGGATATGAAAACATTTTTGAAGTGAAATTTATGTTTCTAGGGTGAAATTTTGTGCTGAAAATGATGAAAATATCGATTTTCAGTTATTATAGTCAAGGGGGTTAATTTTGGTCAAGGGGGTTAATTTCAAGAATTTAATCAGATCAAGATTCTAGACTCA